GTGTGCATTTTCTTTATGCTTATCCTGCTTATTATTCCTTGGGCATCTTAGATTAGGGGTTTTTAACTTTCTTCATATTTGGAAATTTTCAGCCACTATTTCTTCAAATCTTTTTCTCTCTGCCGCTTTCTAAGGCTTGGTAACACATATGATACTTGATACTGTTCTAGAGCTCACTGACATTCCTTTCATTTTCTTTTTTGTCTTTTTTCTCTGTGTTTCACTTTGGATATTTTCTATTTTTTTTTTTAAGATTTTATTTATTTCACAGAGAGAGAGATAGCGAGAGCAGGAACACAAGCAGGGGGAGTGGGAGAGGGAGAAGCAGGCTTCCCGCAGAGCAGGGAGCGTGATGCGGGGCTCAATCACAGGACCCTGGGATCATGACCCGAGCCGAAGGCAGATGCCTAACGACCGAGCCACCCAGGTGCCCCGGATATTTTTTATTTTTATATCATCAAGTTCACTAGTTCTTTTTTTCTTTTGCAATGTCTAATTTGCTATTATTCCCATTTACTGAAAATTTTCATTTCAGATATTTTATTTTTCATCTCTAAATTTTCCAGTTGGTCTTGTTTATGCCTTCAATTTCTCTCCTCATTGTGCTCGTATTTTCCTTTAAATACATTAACATAGTTATACTAGCTATTCTAATGTCCTTGCTGCTAATTCCATCTCTGCCATTTGTGGGCTTGTTTCTAATGACTGATTATGGTTATGGGTCACATTTTCCCGCTTCTTGGTATGTCTAGTAGCTTTTTATTGGAAGGTGAACACTGTGAATTTCATATTGTTAATCGCTAGATTTTGTTTTGTTTTGTTTTCCTCTACGGAAAATGGGATAGTTCTGTTGAGATTAGTTACTTCTGTTTCAATTTGATCCTTTTGAGGCTTGTTTTAAAATTGTTGTTAGGGTGGGTCTAGCGCAACCTCTAGTGTAGTCTAGATCCTCTGGGATCTCCACTGAATGCCCTAAGAGACTGACAAAGACCCTCCATGGGCTGGTGGGAACTTCCCATCTTCAAATGATTCCTGGCCCTATGTAAGCTGTGGGAACTAGTTAACTGACAGGTCCCCAGTTGTCCTTTGCCTTCCTTCATGGAATTTAACCCTATGGGTGCCTTAGCAGTCAGCAGAATTAAGGGGACTCCAGCGCACAATTCTGAACTCTTTTCCTATGTAGCTCTTTCCTCTCTAGAACTCTACCCCACAATTCCTGACACTTTAGACTCTCTGAGTTCCAATTTCTCTCTCATATGAGCAAGGCTACCATACTTGGAGATTCCCCTCTATCCTCTCTAGTCCAGAAAGTGCCTCCAAATAAAAAGGAATTGTAGGACTCACCTCAGCTGTTTCCTCTTTCTCATTGATGACGGTCCTGCACTGTGTCCAATGTCTAAGAAGAGCGGTTGTGTATGTTTTGTACAGTTTTCAATTGTTTAAGGAAGGAGAATAAGTCCAGCCCCTCTTACTCTATCTCGGCTAGAAGCCAATTTGGGACAGTCAAGTTTGGGAAATTTAGAAAGTCCTATGAATGGACAGAACATAGCAGCAATCTTTCTAGGTGGCTGGTAACTGTAAGAATGTTTTCTCACTGAATCTCCCTCATCTCTAGAAAAGCTGCCTGTAACTATGGGTATGTGTGTACAGGGCTATTGACTAGCCATTCTTCACTTTAAGGTGTATAAGTAGAGAGCCACACTTTAGGCTATGGAGCCCTCCAAAAATAAATAAATAAAATAACCAGGGCAAGTATTATTATGAGAATAATGCCAGAATAAGAACCTTACTCTTGGAGCCCTAATTTTCCTTAGATAGATCTTCCAGATGTTTAGAGGCAAGATCTTTTCTTTTTTATCTGGGGGTAAAATTCTGGGCTGCCCAAACTGGTAAAATACTGAGAATAGGAAGGAGGTAGGAGAAAAAAGAAATAGACTGAAAAAGTCTTTCCTCAACACACTTTAAATTAAATGTTTCTAGCTCTATTCTTACTTTTTATTTATTTTTTATTAATTTATTTATTTTTGGTCTATTGTATTTTTTTGAAACTTCTCTCTGATGATCCCCTTATTCATTTTTCTGGGCTCATTATTTTAGTATTGTTTTTAGTGTCAGAGAAAGAAAGCCAGCAAATAAATGTGTTCTGCCTGCCAGTTTTAAGTGGAATCCCCTAATATATTAGTGTTGTAATTATGTTATAAATAGCCTTATAGTATATTTTTGGTTGGGACAAATATCCTCTTCAAAATAAAATTTAGAAGTAGCTAGTCAAGTTTTATTATTTTTAATTCTGTAGAGATTTTTATTGAATTGCATTGAATCTATTGATGTAGTAAAGAGAAATAGCATATTTACAATATTGAGTCTCCCTAGAACATGGCATATTGTTCAGGCTGTTCTTTAAATTTTCATTTTAACCCTAAGTTTCCTTAGCTTTTTTCTACTGTACATAGAATAGTTTCACACTTCCTGACATATTTTTTAAAAACTCTTTTGCAGATAACTATATAGACATCCTGTTAATTGGACTATTTTATTATTTCTAATATTGCAACAGTTTCTTTTTACATTGTAGGTAGGTAACTATATCACCAGAAAGGAATAATGTCGTATTTCTTTTCGTAACCTTTATTCCCCTCAGGGTTTTTTCTTGTCTTACTGCATTAACTGTATTTTCTAAAGCACAGCTTTAAGAGTTGTTGATGGCTCTAGCTTAATGTTTGTTATGATTCTGGTAGATATCCTTTATAAAAATTAAGAAAGGTTCTTCCTAATCCTCATGTCCTAAGAGGTTTTAAGTGGAAAGGGTATTTAATTTTGTCAAATGGCTTTCCGGAATCTATTGGGGGGACATGTATTTTTTTCCATTTTAATATATTACTTAAGCTAATTATAACAGATCCACTAATGTTAAGCTATTGTAGTAGTCATAGAATAATCAATCTTATTTTATGATCGTTTAAAATGTGGATTTATTGGCTGATAGTTGATTTTGAGGTTTTTTTAATGAGTTAGAAATATTATTTTCCTTTTTAGCTATCCTTGTCCAGTTATACTAGCCTCATAAAATAAACTGAAACTCTTTCCATATTTTTCTATGATCAAGACAATTTAAATAACAAAAGGCTGGGGCACTTGGGTGGCTCAGTCGGTTAAGTGTCCAACCCTTGATTTCAGCTCAGGTCATGATCTCAGGGTTGTGAGATGGAGCCCCAAGTGGGGCTCCATGCTCAGCGCAGTGTCTGCTTGAGATTCTCTCTCTCCCTCTCCCTTTGCCTCCCCTCCCCCATTGCCCTTCCCCTCCTCCTACTCACACACATGCACTCTCTCTCTAAATAAATAAAATCTTAAAAAGAAAAGAAAGAAAGAAAAAAGAAAAAAAATAATCAATGGATATCATAAATAGTTTATGCCCCTTAAATCAAGTGTGTGTGCTCCTCTATTATCACTTCAAATATCTTAGTTTTTCTACAGGCTTCACTATTCCTGTTACTGGTTTCTGCATTTGCTTTTTTGTAAATTGACACTACGCATTTATGTAAACTCTAAATAAGTTCTGCCAATTGTCATAATGCTTCTTATGCCCTCCAGTAAGGCATTAGATGAGCACTCCCATCTATGAATATTATATGAAGTGTGTGTTGTTATTAGAGGCACATCAATAAAAATTAATTATAGCTAATGAAGGCATAAGTATAAATGAGCAATTACTTAAATTTTAATAAAATCTGAAAATATAAACCTCATCTCAAAAGAATGCATACATTTATAAGGCTTATTTAGTAACACTTATCAATATATATGACTTTTATTCAGTTATGTGCACCTGGTAAAATTATTCCTAAAGACAAACGTATTCCCTTTGGATCACATTATATCCTTGATAATATCTTTAAGATGTTCATTCTACACTGTCCTTTGCTTAGGAAATAAAGATTTTAAATATTCTTTTAGAAAAAAGTAAATAGTATGAGATATAAAAATATATATATTTTATATATATATTACTATATTTTACAATAGTAAAAATTCTGTGTACTATCTTTAATCCTTTTAAAATCCAGATACATCTGAATTGACATAGTTTCCCCCACCCAGAAAAAAAAAAAAAAAACAAGTTGGAAAGAAGAGTATTGCCGTCTCTATACATTCTGATTTCCAGCTCTGAGAAGCCTAGAATAGCAAAGGGACAAGTACTAAGGAAGTCACCATGGATCAAAAATAACTTCCCCAATATATTACATTAATAGATATTATAAATTTCCCTTTTTAAATCCTACCACCACCACCCCCAACTGAATAAGGACTATTTGATAAAGACCTTGCTGTGAATTACAGTAATGTATTTAAATCATATCTTTTAAGAACAGATATGTTTTAAAGCGGTAGGACAAATGAAAAAGAGATAATCTGGGAACAAGAGAATAAGACCTAGAGGGGGATGTTCCAGGAGAGGCAGCTTTGGACAGCTACAAATGTGCATAAGAGGACACCAAAGACAAATTCCATCCATCTTGTAACTTTGTGTTTTTGTAAGATACTCAACTAAAAAGGCATTCCCCATTCTCCCTTCCTCCAACTCATCCTGCGGCTGCCATTGGCTAATATGAAGCTTTACACAGGCCATAAGTAGAAGGCATGAGACCACATAAATGGAGATATTTGCCTCACTCTATAATGTGCATACATGAATCTATGCAATATAAGTGGATCCATATTTCTCTTTGATGTTAAGAATGCTTTAATGGGCTATGACACTTGGATAAGCTATCAATCCAGTTTTCAAATACCTCTAAGAAGAAACACAAGGTAAGAACTTAATGTGCTCTTTCTATCCCTCCAGCCCCAGCCTTCACTCTGGCTCTCTGAGCCTGCAATTCTTCAACATTAGGAGTAAGCTTTCAAATGACAGACAACACTTCAGGATTTTATGAAATGTCTAAATATTATTTTCTCCCCAGAACAGAGATCTAAACAAAGATCAACAACCATATACTAAATTATTAGCAAATACTATTTATTCATTAAGTAATAGTACTAAAACAAGGAAGAATATTAGAGTTGCAGGCTTAATTATCTTTTAAATGTTTGAGATATGTTCCACATCTTATGTTTTATGCAAATAATTAGCACTCCATAATGAATTACCGGTAGTCACAACCTAGAAAGTTATTTGTCTTCCAAATGCTAATAGGACTGTACTGAAGCAGTCTTGTAGTTCTTCATATTTAGTGCCCTGAAATTGGAAAATAAATGCACATTTAATTTTTTAGGTGCAGGTAATATATCTGTACATTCTTGTAAAAAAGTTTTGCAATAAAAAAACTAATCATCCAAAACAAAATTCTTTCACCAGATTAAAAAGCATCACTTAAGATATAATTTAAGAAGGAAAAATTGGTTTGGGGGTACCAATTTTAAATACCACCCAGAGGTTTATTAGTTTTACAATTAGGATAAGGGGTGCTTGGGTGGCTCAGTCAGTTGAGCATCTGACTTAATTTTGGCTGGTCATATAAACTTGGGGTTGTGGGATGGAGCCCTGCATCAAGGCTCTATCCTTGGTGCAGTCTGCTTGGGATTCTCTCTCTCCCTTTGCCCTTGCCCCTATTTGCATGCTTTCTCTCTAAAATAAATAAGTAAGTAAAAGCTTTAAATAAATAAATAAAACTGGGGTAAAAGAAGCTATAACTTGCTTTAGGATAATATTTTCTATAATATAAAAAGTATCAATAAACTCAAAATTACTAAACAGAAGATAAACTTCTGATTATCCAAAAGAGCAATCAGTTATTCTTTTCCCTGCTACAAACATATATATCATAGAACTTTCTCAGGTCTGTTTTCTGGATAGAAAAGAACACTCAGAAAAGCTGAAACTACCCCCTCCCCCTCACTCCCCCCAAAAATCCCATCTATTTGAGGGTGAGTGTGGTGAAGAAAACTCTAATTTTACTCTCTGTTCTATATTACATAGATAGAGTTTGGCAGAGTACTGATAGATAAGGAGCTTGCCAAAGGATGAAGATCAGAGGACATGAAAAGAAGACTCCATATATTCCCATTTCCACCAACTAGCCCCCTTAGAATATTATGCCTTAAGACAACAGTTAAATTACATAAATAATGATGAGCAGTCTTATTTTGGGGACAGGATAGTAAGATTGGTATTATAATCACTGTTCACAAGTGATACAGATGTACTGAGATGTTTTAATAAAAGAAAAGAATGTGAATTTGGTGTCCTTTACCTAATCTAGTGTATGATTACACTGAAGTTAGAAATACATAAATTAGCTTAATTGGTATTAAAACTTTCTCAATGAATAGATAGAAAGGTAATCAAATGAATTCTTCCACTTATTCATGATCTTGTGCACACACAAAAAAGGAATGATGAATTATCCTTTCCTAATTTACATTCTGAACTCCTGAGAACTTCTTTTCAGTTTTGAGAGTACTCAAACCTTGGGCAAAATTGAACTTTTAAAATACTTTAGCAATATACTTCTCTTCAAAGTACTATAAAATAATGTTAATAGCTTTTTTAACTAACCAAAATATTTCCTAGAAGATTTCATAAAAGATTATTTAAAACTTAAGGAGAGCCTGGTGATGGGTATTAAAGAGGGCACACTCTGCGTGGAGCACTGGGTATTATGCACAAACAATGAATCATGGAACACTACATCAAAAACTAATGATGTAATGTATGATGATTAACATAACAATAAAAAATTATTTAAAAAAATAAATAAAACTTAAGGAGAGAAGTCTCAAATGTCATCAGAATTCTTCATAATTCCTGAGAGCCTGGAGCCCACATAAAGATAATAATTTAACAAAGATCAAAAACACCCTTTGAGAAACAAACAATGTTAACCTGTACTGCTAACTGAACTATAAGTATCTAAACAGTCTCAAACAACTCATAATAAGATACTACAGATTTGCTTTAAAAATTATGAACAGAATAGTCTGTACAGATAAATTAAGCTTTTTCAATTAGAAATTTCAGAACATGAGAAAGAACTTCTACAAGGAAGAGCTTCTATATAAAAGGAGCTGGGATTTTCAAAGATACACAGATTTGTCATTGTTTAAAGTATGTATAAATAGGAGATATTATTTTGAAGGGATCACAAAGTCAAAAACAATTTTTCTTAGTTTACAGGCTAAGGTAACATATTCCTACTACCTTTTGACATTTAAGGTCATTATACTTTCAATTGGTCTGCTCTTTGGTCCACTTGGTGGGTGGAAAATCTTAGCACCTTTGCTGGAAATCTGGTTTCCCAATTTAACCACATAAGGGTCAGCAGAATGTGAAGGGTAAGGGTCAAATGTTCCTGCCTTCATTCCACCAGCCTACAAATAAAAATGAGACAATTTAATGTAGTTTTTTAAAAGGCTTCTAACAAAATTAGATTGTGAAGAAGTTCATACATATTTGTGTATTGTCTATAGAGTTGGTTTTACATTTAAAGAAAGTTGTCTACACAGACATACCTCAGAGATATTGTGGGTTCAAGACAATTGCAATAAAGTGAATATCACAAGTTAAATGATTTTTTTGGTTTCCCAGTACATATAAAAGTTATATTTACACTATGTTGTAGTCTATTAACTGTGTAATAGCATTGTGTCTAAGAAAACAATGTACATACCTTCATTTAAAAATGCTTTACTGCTAAAAAAAAAAAAATACTAAACATCATTTGAGCTTTCAGTTAATCATACTCTTTTTGCTGATGGGAAGTTCTTGCCTTGATGTTAATGGATGCTTACTGACCAGGTGGTGACTGATGAAAGTTAGTGTGGCTGTGGCAATTTCTTAAAATAAGACAATGAAGTTTGCCATATTGCTTGACTCTTCCTCTCATGAATGATTTCCCTGTAGCATGCAATGCTGTTTGACAATGTTTTACCCACAGTAGAACTTCTTTCAAATTGGAGTTGATCCTCTCAAACTCTGCTGCTGCTTTATCAACTAAGTTTATGTAATATTCTAAATCCTTCATTGTCATTTCAACAATCTTCACAGCATCTTCATCAGGAGTAGATTCCATCTCAAGAAACCCCTTTCTTTGCTCCGACATAAGAAGTGACCACTCATCCCTTAAACTTTTATCATGAGATTGTAGCAGGTCAGTCCCATCTTCAGGCTCCGAATTCGTTTTCTTGCTGTTTCCACCGCATCTGCAGTTACTTCCTCCACTGAAGTGTGAACCCCTCAAAGTCACCCATGAGGGTTGGAATCAACTTCCAAACTGTTCATGCTGATATTCTGACCTCTTCCCATGAATCACAGATATTCTTAATAGCATCTAGAATAGTGAATCCTTTCCAGAAGGTTTTGAAGTGGCTTTGCCCAGATCCATCAGAGGAGTCACCATGTACCGCAGCTATAGCCTTATGATATGTATTTCTTAAATAATAAGACTTGAAAGTTGAAATTATTCCATGGTCCATGGGCTGCTGAACAGATGTGTTATCAGGCATGAAAACAACATTAATCTCATTTTACATCACCATCAGAGCTCTTGGGTGACCAGATGCATTGTCAATAAACAGCAATATTTTGAAAGGAATCTTTTTTTTTCCTGAGCAGTAGGTCTCAACAGTGAGTTTAAAATATTCAGTAAACCATGTCATAAACAGATGTGCTTTCATCTAGGCTTTGTTGTTCCCTTTACAGAACACAGACAGAGTTGATTTATCATAATTCTTAAGGGCCCTACAAATTTGGTTATAGTAAATGAGCAGTGGCTTCAACTTAAAGTCACCAGCTGCATTGGCCCCTAACAAGAGAGCCAGACTGTCCTTTGTAGCTTTGAAGCCAGGCAGTGATCTCTCCTCCCTAGCTATTAAAGTCCTAGATAGTATCTTCTTCCAATAAAGGGCTGTTTCATCTACATTAAAAACCTGTCGTTTAGTGTAGCCACCGTCATGGATTCTCTTAGCTAGGTCTTCTTAGCTGTAACTTGCTGCAGCTTCTATATCAGCACTTGTTGCTTTACCTTACACTTTTATGTTATGGAGATGGCTTCCTTCCTTAAACCTCACGGACCAACTTCAGCTAGCTTCCAACTCTTCTTCAGCTTCTTTACTTCTCTCAGCCGCCATAGAAGAGAGTTAGGGCCTTGCTTGGGCATAAGGAAATGTTGTGGCAGGCTTGATCTAACCACTAAAACTTTCTCTATCAGCAAGAAGCCTATTTTGCTTTCTTATCATTTATGTGTTCACTGGAGTAGCACTTTTAATTTCCTTCAAGAACTTTTCCTTTGCATTCACAACCTGAGTAACTGTTTGGCGCAAGATGCCTTAGCTTTCAGCCTATCTCTGTTTTTGACTTGCCTTCCTCACGGAGCTTAATCATTTCTAGCATCTGATTTAAATTGAGACATGTGGGGCACCTGGGTGGCTCGGTCCGTTAAGCTTCTGACTCTTGATTTTGGCTCAGGTCATAATCTGAGGGTCGTGAGACTGAGCCGCTGTAGGGTTCTACACTCAGCAGGGAGTCTGCTTGAGATTCTCTCTCTCCCTCTCCCTCTGTCCCTCCTCTCCCCACCTCTGTCTCTTTCTCCCTCTCTCTAAAAAAAAAATAACAATAAAGTGACACATGCAACTCCTCCTTTCACATGAACACTTAGAGGCTATTGTAGGGTTATTAATTGGCCTAATCTCAATACTGCTGTTTCTCAGGAAAGAGGGAGGCCCAAGGGGGAATGGCCAGTCCATGGAGCAGTCAGAACACATGACATTGATCGATTAAGTTTGCCGTCTTACATGGGTGGTGTTCATGTCACCCCTCAAACAATTAAAATAGTAACAGCAAAGATCACACTGATCACAGATCACCATAACAAATATAATAATAATAATAAAGAAGTTTGAAATATTGCAAGAAGTATTAAAATGTGACACAGAGACACAAAGTGAGCAAATACTGTTGGAAAAATGGCACCAATAGACTTGCTCAAAACAGGATTGCCACAAACCTTCAATTTGTAAAAAAACACAGTATCTGTTAAGCACAATAAAGCAAAGCCCAATAAAACTAAGTATGCCTGTACTGTTCAAATACCAGCAGTCTCCCTGCTGCCAATTTTATGGGGCAAGACACTGTAATTTCCAAAAGTTCTCTATTAAAATGCAAATGTTTATAAGAAAGTAATATTCCAAACTCTTGTCAAGTATTAATATTTTAGTAAGAGTTTACCAGATCAAGCTATCATCTAGTTAAGGGATGAACCTATTACTGAGGGAATAAGACTTAGGTCAAATATATTTTGATACAGAAAGGAGTTGGGGCTCAAAACCAGAGGATGCTCAGAGAAAAGGCCAAAGGTAAGATCTGTCAAACTGGGAGGCTGACATAACATGAGTTTATTAAATATCAGTCAATGATATTTGGTTAACATACTAAAAAAGATACTAAAGATACTAAAGATACTAAAAATAAAAATTTTAAAAAATCAGGAATAGCACAGAGAAACAGAAAGTGAGAAGAAAACGTGATCTACTTTATACTGTTCTTATAGTCTATTAAGAGAAGTCAATCAAAATTATTTTTTGACCTGTACACAAAACAAATAATTGCTTTGACTTTTTAAGCTGATTTGCCACAATTTTAATCTTTACATTATATGTAGTCACCAAGAAAATTCTATAGAATTATAATAACTCATTTAAGTAGGCATTCTTTATCTTACAGTATCTAAGCCAAATATAAATGAAAATTAAAAGACATAATTGTAATATTTCAAGTTTTCCAGATTGAGGACACATAGATCCTTTTGAATCTATGCTAACATCTACTTATAACAAAATAAAACAAAGCATACAAAAAAAAAACATACAGACCAGTTACACTTAAAATTATTGATGCAAAAAATACTTTAAAAATTAACAAATAAGGTAAACTAGTACACTTAAAGATTAATACAACATGGCCAAGTGGGATTCATCCCAAGAAATCTATTATTATTATTCACCTTATAACAACTCAAAGAGAGAAAAAAATATATAGTCTAAGTAGATTACACCAAAACATTCAATATAATTCTACACACATTCCTGATTTATCCCTATTTTTGGCATCTATAAATATGAAACACTAGAGTAAATTCAAGTAATTCAGTAAATTCGAGATTAAGGCAAAAGATGGCCACTGTTGCTAACCTAAGCTACTGCACAAGAACATGACTTCAGAGCTATAAATACTGGAAAGGAGGGAGCAAAATTATTTGCAGAGAATGTAATCATATATCTGAAAATCTAAAGAGAATCAAGATAATACCCATTAGAACATAAGAAAACTTAATGAAATGGCCAATTATCAAATGTTTTTATAAAGACAAATTATAAAAGAGAATATATGATGGGGGAAAAAACTGTTGACCAGAGCCTTAAAATAAATAGAAATAAAATACAAGATATATAAACCTGTGTGAAGTAAAATATAGAATCCTACAAGGTAACTAAAAGTTTTTATAAGTAGTTTATTTCTAGATCAGAAGATTCAAATCATAAATAGGCTAGTACATCCAAAAATCTGAAGATTTAACTTTTTAGCAAAATACCAAATATCTTTCTCCCCAGAGCTTTAGAAAATAATTTCAAAGTTCTACAGAATAAATATGGGGAAATAGCCAATGTACTTTTTTTAAAGAGTAACAAGAAATTAGACCATCCCAAATTAAAATGTCATAGTAATTAAAAGTAGCTTGGTATAGGTAGAAATAAACATCAAATAAAATGGAAATTGAAGGGAAAAAATTGGAGTTTTGATTTGACAATTCAATTTCAAAGCAGCGGTATTAAAAATAATTCTATCAGTGACATTAGGAACAATTGGCTTTTTAAAAAACCAATTTTCTTGAAGTCTAATTCACGTACAATAAACTGCACCAACTTAAAGTTTACAATTCTATGACTTTTGAGAGCTGTATATACCGTTGAAACCATGATTGCAATCAAGATATAGAGCACATCTTCCCTCAAAGTTTCATCCTACCTTAAAAACTGGATTTTGAGGGGCTCCTGGGTGGCTCAGTCGGCTAAGCGTCTGCCTTCAGCTCAGGTCGTGATGCCAGGGTCCTAGGATGGAGCTGAGCTCCTCCTTGCCCCTCTGCCCCTCCCTCAGCTTGTGCACATGCGCTCGAGCGCGCTCTCTCTCTCTCTCTCTCCTCTCTCTCAAATAAATAAAATCTCTGAGGGAAAAAAAACCCTGGATTTTGAGAAAGATAAAACCTGAATCCTCACCTTGCTCATGTCAAAATACATTTCAAATGAAGATTTAAATGCAAAAGTGTAAGACTAATAGAAGAAATCAAGAATGTATATTTTTATAATAGTGGTGGTAAAGAAAGTCATTCTGAGAATGACATAAAACTCAGCATAAAGAATTGATAAATTTGACTACAAATTTATTAAATTTCTGGATAGCACAAAATACCATAACTAAAGTCAAAGATTCAACAGACTAAAAAAATTATTTTCAACACAAATGACAAAAGAATATCATTAATATATTAAAAGATCTTACAAATCAATATGAAAAAGACAAATATCCTAATAGAAAATCTGCAGGGAAAATGAATAGGCAATGCACAAAAGACTGAAAGTATGAACTAAGGTTTATAAACAATAAGAAGCATTTTTACTTTTATTCACACTTGTAAACCTTAGCAGAGTAGGAGAGGGTTCATTTTAATCACCATTTCAAAAACTAAAAGATGGTCTGGCTTTTCATGGTTCTGTGAATAACTATGCCTAAGATCTAGAGAGGCACTGAGAAAATCCATTGTAAACTCAAATACACTTAAAGTGATTAGTAGTTATTTCATTTCAAGAGCTCCATTATTCCCTACACTAGCCAGGCTTTGTGACTTTTCGTAATTTTGTTAAAATAAATTTCACAATTCTTACTGTGCATGATAAGAATGTGAATAATAAGCAGAGGTTTATTATTTACATGGCTAATAAAATGATGTGACAGAAAAAAAACAATTCTTTATAATGCGTAATAATTTTTAATTCTAAAAGTTTTAACTTACCTTTTTACCAGGAGAAGAGGGCTTAAAGGGGTGTGCAAGTAATTCTTTCTTCTCTGTTTTTTTAATTGGTGGTAAAGACTTCTCAAACGAATAAGGATTGATATCAAAATATTCCCTTGGGTAAAGGTTTAACTTGAAAGGTGTTCCTTTAACTAAACGATGGTGTTCTTCATTCTCCTTCTGTAAATCAGAGTTTGAAATTACATAACATAAATTATTCAAATTAGAAGTAACAGTTAAATTTTCTTTTATATTTTAATACAACCATGTAGATTTTTAAAATATATACCACTAGGTTCACTTCTCTAAAACATTCAGTTGTTATTTTGTTTCTATGATACAAAAGAGATCTCCTCTTCCACACCACAGTGGTAAGGATAATTTAACCATTCCATTTATCCTTTGGGGCAGTGTGTCTCAAATTTTAGTTTTCATAGGAATCCCTTGATAATTTATTTGAAATACATATTACAAGCTCTTCTCTCAGAGATTTCTAATCCTCTTGGTTTGCTAGATGGCCCCAAAATCTGTAGTTTTATCAGTCACCCCAAGTGATGCTGATACAGACTACCATAAAGCAATGCTTTAAAGATTACCTTTTGCTAGAGTATGGTCACCTTTTACTAGAATATTGTGTTTGTTTTGCCAACCCCTGCCCTAAAGTATTCAGTTGAGTACAAATCAGCACATATATGTGAGTAAGCTACTCAAAGCCAAAAAAAGAATGGCCTAAAAAGACTAGAAGTAACAGTGTCTGACTCTTACCACAGGGCTGGCAAGAGTTCCAATTCCATCAGCTATACTGGAAAACATGACTCCCAGGGCACTGGGTAGAGCACACAGAAAGGGGTGACCTCAGTAGCAGGGATAATTAGCCCTAGATTGAGCATTGCTCCTGTCCCACTTAACAAATCTTAAAAGTGAGACCTGAAAAAAAATCAAAACTATTTCCAAGTCATTTCACTGCACCCCACAACAAAGCCCAAGAATTTTTATAATACAAAAAAATATACACCACTCAACAAAGTAAATGTCACAGTGCCTGACATCCAATCAAAAATCACTAATAATACAAAGTAGGAAAATATGACCTCTACCAAGAAGAAAAATCAGTAATTCAAAATCAACCAAGAACTAACATAGATGTCAGAATTAGCAGAGAAGGAAATAGAAACAATAATTAAACTGTACTATATATGCTCATAAAGCTGCATAGAGACATACAAGATATTAAAAAAAAAACACTCAAGTAGAACTTCTGGAGAGCAAAAGCACAATGTGTGAGATTAGAAATACAAAGGATGGCATTAATAGCATATTGGACCTTGCAGAAGAACAGATTAGTGACCTTAAGGACCTAGAAAAGGAAACAATTCAAAATGAAATACAGAGAAGGAAAAAAGAGAACTAAAAAAAAAAAGCAAACAGAGCACTGATAAACTGTGGGACAATTTCAAGAGATCTAATGCATATGTAATAGGAGTCCCTGAAGGAGAGGAGAAAGATAGAACAGAAAAATTAACTGAAGAAATAAATAATAGCTGAAAATATTCCAACTTTGATGAAAACTATAAACCCACAGATCCAAGAAGCTCAATAAACCCCAAGAACAAGAAGCAAGATGAAAACACCACCAAAGCACATCATAATCAAATTGCTTAAATGAGTAACACAGAAAATCTTAAAAGTAGCTAGAGAAAAAAGGACAGTAAGTACATATAGAAGAACAGAAATCAGCATGACAGCAGATTTCTTGTCAAAAACAATCAAGCAAGAATGCAGCGGAGTAATGTCTTTAAAATTCTAAAAAAATATATAAAATTTCTGACTTATAAATAATAAGTTTTGAAAATAAGAACAGAACTTTACTATTAGGAGAGAAAAGTATTTTATGCACATAAAGTTTAGGATAAAAGACTAATTACTGGGGCCCCTGGAGGGCTCAGTTGGTGAGGTGTCTGCCTTCAGCTCAGGTCATGATCCCAGGGGCCTGTCAGGCTCCCTGCTCAGTGGGGAGTCTGCTTATCCCTTTCCCCACCCCCCTGCTCATGCTCTCTCTTTCTCTCTCAAATACATAAATAAAATCTTTTTTTAAAAAAAGACTAATTACTGAGTCACCGATAAAACTGTCTTGTGTGTAGTTATATGTTATGTGTTATTAATACTATTCCTACAGATGAAAAGTGGCTTATACATAATTTTGTAATAATCCATACATAGAAACAAAGATGCTTATTAAATGACCAAGGTTTCTGCCCAATTTAATAGAAAACTTTTCCTGAGTTTGGTCACACCCCTTTGCAAAAATGGCTACTATCCTTCTATCTCGTGGCCCCGCTGCTGCTTAAAGTCATCACGGCAAAATTGTTGAAAACTGCATGCCTGAAACTAAAAAAATGCTTGCCACTTAGGTTCTATTGCTTAATGTCCAAACATTTTCATTTTGCCAGTTTCCTTTAAGTTATATTGAAATTGTTAAATTATGTTGATACAGCTCCAAAATTTATAAGGTTTCCTCTACTCATTCCCATGTAGGCTTTGTCTATATAAGTGACTACGTTTCATTCAAAGTCAAATATTATATAAAATGAGTGTAGAGGATATGCCAGTAATATTTAGCTTTTATATCTGTCATTTAATAGAGTACTTTCCTCTCCTCCTACCACTCTCTTTTCTGTAGGTATTCATCCATTCTGTACCTTCCACCTTCTCCTTTCTCCCTATCACTCCTGCATTCCATTCGTTGATCATAATGGCTTGATTAGGCCAAAGGTACTACCACTACTGTCTTAGCCACAAGATATTAGGGTGTGATGGGAATATAGCTAAGGCTTAGGACATGACTCTTCTACTTAAAATAGGACATAGCTGATCAGGCCAAGTTAACAGAAGCCTCATAGCCATTTGAGAGAGATATAAGGTGCATGTGGTAAACTATAGCAGGAGAGAAAAGCTCACCCTGGGAAGAGGTGAGAAGATCTACAGCAAGATATGGAAATCCAATATCAAAAAGGTGAAATTATCACAATTCATTAACATCAGTTTACCATTGCCCTAGTAATACAAATACTGATAAAATAAAACAATCCATAATCAGATCACAAATGAATTCTCTAGGTCAACTAAAAGAAAGATTGAAGAAAGTTAAAATAGATTATTTTACCTTATAATTTAGTTTGGGTGCATCGTAGAAATCAGCAGAGTGTGAAAACTGTTTACCTATGGTAATATTTGCATAGCTAAGGAAGGAAATTAAGTAATGGTGATTTCAGGATTCAGAAATTTTAAATTTTATTTTAAGTTTAAAATAAGTGATATGAAAGTATGAAAAATATCTTACCCATATCCAGTTCCTTTCTTTCCTGGGTTTGTATATAAATTCTTTCCAGGTGCCTCATATTTTTCTCTGGGTTTTGACTGTGCACTGAAGAATGGCATGGGACCACCTAATGTTCCATAGTAGCTTCCTAAACCACATCTTAAATACAGTTTTTAAAAAAGGAGGCAAAATAATACAGCAAATTTTGTGTTATACATATTTGATCACAATTTATAAAAAATGACTGAAAAAGGAACAAAATACATGCAATGGAATTGACTTGCCTAACTTTAGTAAGAAAAAAGCAACCAATTTTTTTAGTTCTTAATCTAATTTCCCCCATTTTCCAAAGTCACAAATTTTCAGATGAGATAATGTTTTTAATTTTTTATGCTTATTTTAAATGTTCCACATAAACAAAATTTCATAATCCCTAGGCAGTGATAATAGTTTCCATTAATTCAGAAGATTGCAGTTTTACTAACCTCAAAAAAAACAGCACAATTAAGAACAAAATTGGCCTTCAACCAATCCTCATCCATCATAAATTCTACAGAGTCAGCATTACAGAGTTTTGTTTTATGTCACTGCTCTCTATTTATGTAATAAATATATGCAAATACATTTGTTTGAAAACCTTGAAAAAACTGCATTAACGTCGTATCATAAAGCTCAGCTATATAATGTAACAGACTATATGATTTTGTTTAGTGGTTTAAAGGTAAGAAAAAAAAAATGAACCTTCAGATTGACAACTGTCACAGCTAAAATATTGTTAAACTCCATGCATGTATCTTCACAATGATTTTTAAATAACATGTCTTGATAAATTACCTTCTTTATCAAAAGAAGGCTTCTCCTAATTTAATAATTTTTATGTATACTTAAAAAGTTTTTACAAAGCAGAAAAAAGAGTAAAGGGCACAGATGACCCAAGGCAGTTTTTTCAAGGTTTTCAAACAAATGTATTTGCATTATTTCGTTAGCTTTTATTACATAAATGGAGAGCAATGACATAATCAAAAATTTAATGAGATGAGGATCTACTTAATCAAAACTCCCTGTTAACTTATATCACCCAATATAACTGTCTCCAAATAAGACAAGTTCATCCTAAAAATCATATTTTAAAAAATGAATCATACTTAAGTCCTCCAGAGAAAGACTCAATTTGGGCTAGAGGAGAGAAATGGGCAGGAGATGTATTTATGACTTTTCCCCCAAACACTTACGGCTTTTTATCTCCACTACTAGGGAGGAAGGCTTTGCCTAGATTTTTTTTTGCTTCTTCCATCATATGCCGTCTCCTCACTTGATTCAGACTTACATAGCCTTCACCTTCAAATATCCTTACAAAATGGGGATCAAAATAACCTGCCTGGAGATTTGACATTTCTTTGGATCCCCCAGGTAGCATCTGTTTATTTTTGCTTGCAGCCTCATTAAAGGGTCCTTTAAAAATAAATTAGGAATATCATAACTTTGAGCTAATAATTAAAGAACATGAAAAATAACTAAGAAAAGTTTCAAACTGTGGGATTGGGGCCAGTGAGTTTTGAGCTCTAAAATGCTGTCTCAAAATGTTCACTGAAAGCTCTGTGTTGCAGATTATATTGACTATAAGACCTAAGAGGTTGCCATTAAATCATTTTAATAATTAGGTCCTGGTTATAGACTCTGAATTTTAGAGCTGGAAGGGACCCTGAAAAGCATTTAATCCAATGCTTCCCCATCTATATACTAGAAAACACTGTGTGAGATTATCAGCAAGTACGTGTGTGGGTGTGTGTGTGAGGTTGAAGGGAAGGGTGTTCCATACTCAAACTGAGGCAATTCCCCTCTTGGATATATACTCAACACACATGAGTGTCTATACTCACTAAAAGGCGTGAACAAGAATTTTCACAGCAGTTTCATTCGTAATATTCAAAAACAAGTAACTACTCAAATGTCCATCAACAAGAGAACAGATAAATAAATGTGATATATTTATACAATGAAATACTAGTAGCTCAGTAATTTTTTTAGAAGGCTGTTTTTATAAGTATTTAGAGCTTCTTTTATAATTTAGATCTAGGAGAGCTCAATTTGAGAAGTCCTTCAGCAATGTGAAAATTTTTTTGAAGTGCAAACAATCCTTAAATCAACCAGTTATTTAAATGTGAATTTGTATCACTGATTTTTTTAACTTAAATTTTGGAAAGGTAATATATTCATAGGGTTCCAAATCCAGTAACATGTTTTTACAATAAATTTTCCTCCCACACTCGTACATCCAGTTCCTCTCCCACAGGAAATCATGATATTTTGTTTTCCAGAGAATGTTTAAACATGTCCCAATGAATATTTTCATATACATCCTTTTCCATCTTTGATGCTTAGCATAATATATAATAAACAATTCTGTACCTTGATTTTTTTTATTTAACAGTATATCTTGGAAATGTTTCATGTCAGTGTATTCTTTTTGTAACAAAGGAGTCATTGAATAGCCAAAAGTTTAACTGAGACATTTAAACTGTTTATTTACTTTAGCTCTTTACTATTTATGACTCTTCTACAAATCCCTCAGCTATTCACTTAGCATTTTACTTTTCAGGAAAGTAATCATGGATGGCCCTTTGGGATGCAAATGTAAATGCTGCTTGCATAACACAGTGTCCCATCTGAGAAACCATAAGCTAAAAACAAAATATTCTGAGAGAAAACTGCCATGCACCTTTGGAAAGAAGTAAAATTACCTATGATGAGAATATACAAAGGAAGGGTATCCCAGTGAAAAGAGCTTCCAGCTCTTATAAAATTAAGTTGTCTCAATTCTATCGAAATTTCTTAAGTTTATTCAACTTTAAACTTAATCCTCTAAAATATAGAGCATTAAAATATACCACTTAACCTAAATATTAAATCCAAAATTTCATATAGAAAATATCCACTATTAGGCTGTAAAGAAAACCAGATATACTTACGATTAAATGATGACACATATTTATCACCAACAGTAACATATTCCATCTCACTAAAGAGGCCAATCCTCTCCATATCAGTTTTCCCTCCTTCCACAGGCATGGTTGCTTCTTGTGGTGGTATTCTCTATATTGACAACTTCAAAGTGTTCTTTATGGCTATTTCTTTTATAGCAAAATCCTACTTTACATTGAAAAATACAGGAAAAAAAATTTTAAGAAAAAGGCAATTACTAAATTTCAGTCCAAATGACTTTCAGTCTGAGAATTAGCATTCATTATAAAACAATGGTCCCAAACTATGTGGGGAAATAATCTACTTTGTGGGGCTGAAGGGGAATAACAGCATTCAAAATTATCACCATGAACCCTCCCCTGGATTCTCTGGGTGAAGTATCCACAAATTCCACAGACATGTGTATGACAGCATCTGTCTCATTACCATTCATCTGTTGTAAATGATCAAATTATTACTGTATAGTATAGTATAAATACTGTGTAAACAGCACCTTTCTTTTGAGAAGTTCAAAGTAGATTTAAAAATCATACTTACATAAGGTGGGGGGCACTTTCAGTTTAGATCGAATGATTTAAACACACTGCGTTGTCTCTCATGTGGGAAATTACAACAGTTTTTCACAATGCACAACACATATAGTTATTATGTGTTATCCTATGCTCTTGAGTTTTCTCAAGTTTAAATGAAAACAAGAAATGTGTCACTGGCGAAATTAGTTCACAAAGGGGTTGGATGGGAAAGGACAATTGTCCAGGCAAGATAAAAACTAAGAACAACAAAACAAATGATAATGCACAATGAATTAAGAGTACTTGTTAAAGGCTAAACTGCAATTGTGAATTTTCTTTTGAAATATCACATTAAACATTCAAGTATTTAGATTTTTTTTTAATTAGACATGTTCTGGAAAGGAAGACGAAAGAGCTAAGGAATATTTGCCTCGATTTCAACATTATATATATATTTAAAAAAAATACATACATTTTTAAATAGGCTTCACACCCAGCGTGGAGCCCCAAGCGGGGGGGGGGGAGCTTGAACGCACCACCCTGGGATCAAGACCTGAGCTGAGATCAAGAGTGGGTCACTTAACGGACTGAGCCACCCAGGCGCCCCAATAATATTTTTCAAGTACCAACTAGATCTAGGCACTGGGCATACATCCTGAATAAAACAAACCTTGGCTTATGCTTCCCAATTTATAATCCAAGGTAAGAAACCTTTGCCTTGAATTTCAGTGACACTAAACACACTTGCCTCTTTGGAACTGTGGCTCATCTGAGCATCAACCTTGCTAACGGGTAATATCAAAGGCGCAAGTGAAGACTCCTTTAAACTAAAGCGTTAATAAGATACGCTTCCATTTCCCCCCATTCCAGCTCTTCCTCTGATCAGGTCTGTTTTAAAAGCACACGTCCGTCAGCTGGGATGTGCTACTTCCATTTGCGGCCTGTTTCAAAGCTCCATCCCACCGCCCAACCACAAGAGCTTCCTGTGATGTTACAGGGGCTCAGACCCCTTAAATGGCTCACGAGGTCCGCTATCACCCACACTTGTCACCAATGGGAACCCCACTCCCCGGCCCCTGGGCTCCATTTGTCTTCTTTCAGTTCTCAGAAGAGACTCGCTCCAGCCACAGGACCATGGCACGCGCTGTTTTCACTTCAGGCGAGTACTTCCCCGTGCTGTCTCCTTTAGCTCCCCCAGTTAACACTGACGCTTCGGATCGGGTCGCTCAGTGATCACTTCTTTAATTACCTCATACCATGTACTACTTTTTCCAGGCCCTCGCCATGGTTTATCTAATGGGTTATCAGTTCACATACAACGCGTGGGAATCCTTTAATTAACAGCTATTTTCCCCATTAAACTGTGGGCTCCACGAAGGCAGGAACCGGGCTGCGTTTCGATTCTTCCCTCCCGCCGCATTTCCAGGGCCTGCGCAGCGCCCGGCACACAAACAAACAAAGCGAGCCACGGAGGGGAGAAGGAAAGGAAAGAAGCTCCCGCCTTGAAATTTTCCACTATTTAACTCTTCCTGAGCGACAGTTACAGAATCGTTCATTCATTTAACAAACACTTTGCAAACCCCTCCTCTGGGTAAAGCTCGCTGACAGAAGCTAGGCAAGCACTGCAAAGGGCATGGATCCTGGCCCCAGGGAGCTTACAGTCTAAGCAGGCGAGTACGTAAGTCAGTGTAACACGAGAATTTGGTAAGGTCCCTCATGCTTAAAGCGCTGAAGGGAGGGGGCGGTGAAGAAGGGGCGGAAAAGGTCCGGCTGAGGCGACGGGAAAAAGATTTCCCATCAAGGAAACAGGCTCGGAGTAGGTAGGTATCTAAAGGCCAACACCCTGCGGCCCCGAGGACCAAGTCACCTCTCAGAAGGACACCCGGTCCGACAGCCGAGACCAGGTCGTCTGAGGTCGGGTCCGGGTTAACTCAGCGGCAGGAGCGACAGGTGCGGCGAGCCACCTCGCGCAAGCGCTTCCCGCGCGAGGCCTCGCTGCGAAGCCCCTCCGCACGCTCCGCCCACTGCTGATACTGACTGCGGCCGCAGGTGTTTATTGTGACGCGTTGCCTCGGGTACGGGAGAGCTCGTTTCAAGGTACGCTACGGAAGGATATGTGGAGAATTCGAAGCCGCATCCGAGAAACATACGTAAAGACTTAAGAGTGTGGGTAGAATGCGAAGGATTCAACCAATAGAATTTACTAAGAAAAGGCTTCTGCTACCCGCCCCATTATCCATCCGCGAGGAGCAGTGGTAAAGTACGCCCCATAACGTTGCTGCGGGGCATGTTGGGAGTTGTAGTCAGCCTTCCCAGGCTCCGCCCTGGAAACGCCACTTCCGGGCCAGCGTGCTGAGCCCTTGCGCGGACGTCTGCGCCCCTGTCATAGCCACGTAGCCGACATGGTGAGTACCTCCGCTGGTAGTCGACCCCTGCGTTTCCCCTCGGACTTTCCTAGCCGCCGTGGGTCCAAGCCCTTGAAAGGAGCTGGCACTGCCGAGGCCCACAGTGGCAGCGGCGAACTCGGTGGTTTGGGCCGCCTTTCTCTCGGTGTCTCCCTGGTAGAGCCGGAGGGACACTGCCCCGCACAGCCTAGACTATCCCAGCTCAGCCGCGGTTAGGACCTGTGCTCCCCGCGCCTCCTCCTTGTGAATGCATTTTGTGAACGAGGGATTATTTGGCGTCTTTGAAGATTTGAAGTATTGGACCTGGGAAAGATATGAGTGACTTCCTTCAGAGACTCTATTCCCCTAGCTCCGGTGATGTCGCACTCCCCCGGTTTCCCTCCTGATTGCTCAGCGAGGTCCTCCAAGCCCTATCCTCGTTAAATTGCTCTTGCCTTTTTAACTTTTGTCTTCTTCAGTATTTTTCATTGTCATTAAATATTTTTTGTCCAAATGGCAACTGTAGAACTCTTCATAGTGCAGATTGTTCAAATGATTGCCTGATATTTGTATGGTAGTATTGTTCTTTAACTGACTTCTTATTGATAACTATTTAGGTGGTTTCCTTTTTTCTTTTATTAAAGTTAAATTTTTACTGAACTTTATTTCCTTAGAACAAATTTCCAGAAGTAGAATTGAGTCTCACTTGTATGAGGATGAATTTGTTTTGTTTTACAATGGAATTTTGGTTCTGTTTGTCTTAGGTGATTTCAGAGACTAGGGATATACTCTTCAGAATAAGAGGAGGCCTTGATCTAGCTTTTCAGCTAGCTACTGCTAATGGTAGGTCTGACCAAAAAAACTCTCCTTTTTTATTATAAAATTGGTGGTGAAATATACTGGGATCCTCTTTATTTTGCAAATGAAACTGAGTGAGGATAAACTCAAATCATGTGGTTGGTGAGTTCTGTAAATTGGATTTAAACAGGCACTGTGTTCCAGCACCACTGCTAGCCTGTGAGGCTTCTCTGTGCAAATTAGAAAAAGATATCCCCTTTCTTAAAAAAGCTTCACTGCCCACTGGCAGAAAATTGTCACAATAAATACAAATATCCACAATGAGCGCAATGTAAACAAGGCATGTAGATTTGTACATTGCAGACTTGCACCTGTACATAACCCTGAGTCTCTAGAGCCCACACTCTTGAAAGTTAGGTTGTTTTGGAATGGTATAAGAATTCTATGGGAAAAATATCAGCAGAGTTTGTGTCAAGCAAATTCTAGGATGTCTTCCTATCTCTGACTTGGGCTAAGGCCACAAAGAGAAGTAAAGAATATCAGAAGAGGAAGATGGGTTGTGTTTGAAAGGTGTTTCATTTAAGATACCAGAGTGTATCAAGTGCAGATTCCCAGCAGGCATCGGGTGATTTGAATCTGAAATTTAGGGGAGGGTGGGTGGTCAGGACTAGAGAGAAAGAATATCTCTGAAGGATGATCATTAACACCGTGATAATAAATAAAATCACTCATGAAAAGTATGATCAGTGGTGTCAGAAACCACAGACAAGTTCAGAAAGTTACGGAATGAAAAGTGCCAAGTTCCTTGTAGGAGGTCACTAGCTGGCCATCGTTTCCTGGCCCTGTGGAAGTAGGAAGGGAGAGAATGCAGAATGTTCTTTCTGACTCATCCCTTTATGCTAAAAAAAAATTGCTCTCAGTCTTGGTCCATTCAAATCCCCACTCCCAAATGAATGAAAGTAAGTCTCTGGGACAGAGACCCAGGCATCAGTAAGCTTTCTGGGTGTTTCTAATGTGCCATCCAGATGAGAACCATCTTACAAAGACTAAATCAAACTCATTTCCAGGCCTATCTTATTAGTAAAGTGTAGTTCTCTAACACGTTAACTTGTGTGGTTAAAGCCTTGTATTTCACAACTCCATATAAATTGAAGCTATACTTTACTATGAACTTATTGCAAAGTATAATTAATCCATTAGTAGGTATAATAATATAATTTCAAATGTAAACAAGGACTGCAATACTTTTTACCAAGTAATTAACATATTTGAGTTTGTCTTCTGACTTGATTATATTACTCCTACAATATCAAACTCTTTCAAACATTCAGTGAAGGGAATCATTAATGAGAAAATATAGAGGAAAGAGGTGCTTAACTTTAAAGACATCACAGTTTTTTCAGATTAGTTTACCTCTTGGTCCTTCAGGGATAAACAAGGTAATCCAGGAATTATGTTTGTCTTCTGTAGTATAGCTGAAAATCTTTAAATTTGGCCTTCTGAAACATATCAAGATGTCTTAAAATCTGACTTGTTGTAAGTAATCTTTTCTCTACCACAACCCCAAGGTATTTATTTATCAAGATATCAGTGTGATAGTTAAATAAATACTTTAACCACAAGGTTAAATAGGTTTAGGATTTAAGAATATAAAGCTAAAATAAGTATATATTGTCTTCTTTAAATATATCTTCTTGGGGCACCTGGGTGGCTCAGTCGTTAAGCATCTGCCTTCGGCTCAGGTCATGATCCCCGGGTGCTGGGATCGAGCCCCGCATCGGGCTCCCTGCTCGGCTGGAAGCCTGTTTCTCCCTCTCCTACTCCTCCTGCTTGTGTTCCTTCTCTCACTGTGTCTCTCTCTGTCAAATAAATAAATAAAAATCTTAAAAAAAAAAAAAATTTTTTTAAATCTTCTTGAACCATGAAAATGTTGTACATATTCCAAAAATTATTGTAAACTAAAAAGAAATCCCTGAAAATGAAGTCAAACAAGTGTCAGGTTAATGACACGTTACACAGAAAAAACTTTGACTTTAGAATACAGTACTTTGGTTGTACTGTATTCTTAGTGGGATAGAGTCCAAAGAGAAAAAGAACTACAAAGAAATTTGAATTTTTTTTATTATTACTATGTTACGTTAATCACCATACATTACATCATTAGTTTTTGATGTAGTGTTCCATGATTCATTGTTTGTGTATAACACCCAGTGCTCCGTGCAGTACGTGCCCTCTTTAATACCCATCACCAGGCTAACCCATCCTACCCCCCTCCCCTCTACCCTCA